TTTTACACACAGATAATCACAAGTCAATTCTTTTATTGACCAGTGGAACAAACTCTCAAACAGGAAAGAGAAATCCTGCAAGGGCCAGAAATGGGCAATGAAAGGTGCCCATCATAGGCATTGCCCCTCCTAGTCCATTCGATTTTGTAAAGGTCTGGTACTTTCTGAAGCAGTCAGGCTGTGATTGTCTGTGGTGTGGGCAGTTCTTCTCTTGTGGGAGGTAATATTTATGATTTGAGAAGAAGCCTGAAGTTCACAGTCAAGTGAGATAGATGGGGAGAAGACTTTGTTTTCTAATTATCACACCTGAAATGGGTTTTCACTCCCCACTATTCTGAACCGTAAGCTATTACCTCATGGGTCCCCTCCCCTTTCTTAAGCTGTCAGACACCCTCACTGCTTCACCCCACTGGACTTGCACTTGTGATGGCCCTGGTTTACTGCAGCAGTTTCTGCCTAGTGGGCTCCTTTCTTCCCCTCCTCCTGCCACTCCCAGCAATGTCTCTCAGAGTTTTGTGGGGAGCTCCTTTAAAATCCAAGGGTGCTGGGGCAAGCATTTGGCCTAGCCATTGAGATGTTGCTTGGGATGCCGACATCTCATACCAGAGTGCCTAGATTGGAGTCCTGACCCTGCTCCTGATTCCAACTTCCTTCTAAAGCACACTCTGAGCGATAGCAGATGATGGCTCAACTGATTGGGTCCCTGCACTCACGTGGGAGACCCAGATTGAGTTTCCTGCTCTAAGCTTCAGCCTGGCCCTGCCTGGGCTTGATGGATAAGTTTATTTCGGTACAAAAAACTGAGACCCTTGCATAGATTTTTTTTTATAAAATATGTACTTTCCGGCCGGCGCTGCGGCTTAATAGGCTAATCCTCCTCCCGTGGTGCCAGCACCCTGGGTTCTAGTCCCGGTCGGGGCACCGGATTCTGTCCTGGTTGCTCCTCTTCCAGGCCAGCTCTCTGCTGTGGTCCGGGAGTGCAGTGGAGGATGGCCCAAGTCCTTGGGCCCTGCACCCGCATGGGAGACCAGGAGGAGGCACCTGGCTCCTGGCTTTGGATCAGTGTGGTGCACCGGCCGCAGCGTGCTGGCCACGGTGGGGGGTGAACCAACAGAAAAGGAAGACCTTTCTCTCTGTCTCTCTCTCTCTCTCACTGTCCACTCTGCCTGTCCGAAAAAAAAAATGTATATATGTACTTTCCATGACTTCATGATAACCCTGCATGGCTTTCAAATTTTTTTGCATCCAAATGAAGTCACCTTTCAATTCCATTTTCCTATGAACCAATGTCAAAGTCCAGATGGACTAGGTTTGTGTTGGGCCCCCAAATCCTGGTTTTGAATATGTGCAGAATGACTACACCAACAGGTCGAGTCTGGGCCATGCTGATCTACAGATGCATGTAGCTGTTCAATGCCATCATCCACATGACACCACCACTTCCCCAGCTTCTCCCCGCAATCCAGTCCTCCCTTCCACCCCTCCAGGCTCCTGGCTTCAGCCTGGCCCAGCCTTGGTTGTTGTGGCCATCTGGGGAGTGAACCAGCAGATGAAGATCTATTTCTCTCTCTCTATCTCTCTCTCTCTCTCCCTCTCTCTCCCTTCCTCCCTCCCTCTGCCTCTCTCTAACTCTGCCTTTCAAATAAATAAGTAAGTAAGTAAAAATTGTGAGGCTGCTGGTTCCTGGCACAGAGGTCAATAAGGCACCAAGGGGGAGAATATCATGATTTCACTTGATGGAGGATGATGATGAATTCATCTCCACTTTAATAATAACAATCCAGTCTGTGCTGGGAACTGTACTCAGTCATGGGGTGCTGAGGACCATTTGGGGAGTGAACCAGTGAATGGAAGATCTCTCTTTCTCTCTCTCCCCCCTTTCCCTCCTCCTTCTCTTACTCCTCCTCCTCTCTCTGTAGCTCTGCCTTCCCAATAAAAAAAATAATTAAAAAAGAATGTCTGCCTGATGTCCCAGGGGAGCAAGCATGGGAGCTGAGTGATTATAAACCCCTTTCAGAAGTACGGAGCGTACAATAATCCGTCTTATAGTTTTTCATGATAACGGATGTTTGGCTTTCAATCCTCTCTGAAGTCAGCAAGGACTAGATGATGGATGAGCCTGGAAACACACTCTACTTTGCTGGCAGGTGAGAGACCCAGACGCTCACCTTGAGGAGGGGCAGAGGGTGTTGAGTTGATCAGAACTCATGAACAGCCCATCTGGCCCATGTTCGTGTGCAGGGAAAGGGGACGAAGAACATTCTGTTGTCTTGTGACCTGGCTTCTGCCTGAGAAAGAATTTGCCATGGCAAACAGAAGTCCCCTCTTCTGGCAGAATAAGTGGGAAATAACTAGAATCGGAATATATCTTCTCACCATTTATCATCTTTAATCTGCTAGCCTGTAGGATGTCAGGGCAGCAGAAAATGTAATTTTGTCCAGTTTTACTAAACAACAGACTTTCATCTTAAAAAATAATAAAAAAGCACTCTAACGCTTCTGGAGCTGACACGAAGTTAACTCAGATGGAATTTCCATATTTTATATGCACCATGAAAATCTGGCTTTATGCTTAATGGAAGCTTCATGTGCACAGATAAATAGAGAGAGTGGGAAGCAAAGTGGGTTAGTGAGGGTAGGACGAGCGCTTTGATCCTGCTCGTGCCATTTGCAGGCTCATAAACAGTAGCCAAACCTGATAGACAAAATCGTCTCCAAGAGGCAAATGAAGTGTGTGCACAAGCTTGAAAGACCGGGGAGCTGTTTGCTCTCAGGTAAATATGCATTTTTTTGCAGCCAGATTAAGGATTCATTTTTGTCCTTGACACAGCACGAAATTCAATCTGCGTCTACTTACCCTACAGACAACAGCCTGTCAGGGGTCGTGCTAAGATTTTATAATAGGACAGGCAACAGTCTTCGTGAGCAAAATAAACATTTGGGAAATTATATTTTAGAGTGACTGCTCTTCCACCCCTCCTTCCCTAACTAGTCATGCAATTCTGGTTCAGTGAAATGCAACCTTTAATATTTTGGAAATAATTTTTGAACAGATGGGGGAAGAGGCAGGAGGGCAGCATCCACTGCAGGCTTGGATGCTCTCTCTCTACCTCCTCTTCTTTTTCAGCAAAACGACTCAGGCAGTGATTGTTTTCCTTTGAAAGGAAAAGGAGAAAAAATAAGCAAAACCCCAGCAGGAGAGGATTTTTAGATTTGCTCTTTGCTTCCCTTTGAAATTTTCCTAAGAAGATAATATGCTTGGCTCCATCTGAGCCTGGCTCCTAAGGGTTAGATGTTTTGGAGAGAAGCAAAGGTTGTTTAAGGTGGGAGGGGCCCATAGCGGAAAGAGGCTCAGAACGCTTTGTTTCTGTGGCCCCTCAAGGGTGAGTCTTCACACTCTCTTTATTGAACTACAAATATCTTTCCAGATGAACACACTCCTAATCTAATTAGCTGCAAACAGTTCTCTTGAGTGCCACACTGCTTAACTAGAGGAGGGCAATACAGGAAAGGAGAGGGGCTGTTGCAGGAGAAGTGCCCAGGATTATGGATTCCTTCTCGGAGGACGCACTGGGACCAGGTGCTGGGTTTGCGGGAGTGTTTTCTTCCTTGTAGGGAGACAAAGGCAAAGGAATGTTGAACAGTCTCATAACAGAGACTTATGAAACAATGCATATTTGTTTTCCATAGCATTTCTTTTCATTTCCAGACAACATGATCAAGTTCTTGGCTCAGCAAAGTAATGGCCCCCAATATGTTTGGGGTTCCTGAAGGGTGTCGGACCCCAGTGAGCCAATGCAGCCTAATTTTACATTGGAATGTGTGATGCCCTCTTAGTTCCTTTGGGTGTGGACTGGCAATTCATAGACAGATCACACCTCTGTCTGTAGTACCTCTGCCCCATGGATCAGGTCAGAGAAGGTTAGGGGACCTCACTTGAAAAGATGACTTCTAGTCATTTTGGCAAGGATCCCTAAAGGCAGTTGAGGAAGGAACTATGTGGCATTGGGTGCAACAATCTGGGGCCCTCAGGAACGGGGTGCCATTGTGAGGCAGGCTCCTGGTTGCAGGGACACCACTTGGGCTGAAGCGTGCTCCTCAGTTCTCACTGGGCCCACCAGACTGAGCAACCACTGCACGCCAGTGACAGCTGGACCCGGACACTTGCTCCACCCCTCAACTGCCTAATTCACTCTGCTGCTCTTGAAGTCCCTCTGGCATCCTTGCTTCTGGGGCTCAGGGGTGCCTCCCATCTGACTCCAGATCGCCTCTGACAGGGTGCAAGTGGCTTGTGCTGGGTAAACAATTGCCTCTCAGCTTCCACCCTATCCTGCTCTGTTTGCTCTCCCTACTCCGTTGGATGCTGAAAACTACACTCCCCAGAGACCCCTGCCAGATGCATCTGCCACTGGGAGGTCTGGAGGGAGGTGAGAAGGCAAAAGGAGGACAGGGACTACTTCCTGTCTTCTGGTTGAGGGCTGCTTGCAGCAGCATCCTTAGGCCCTCTCGGCTGGTTCCCCACGTGCCTCAGTGACCCCAGCAGCAGCAGGCCTTGGCAATCAGAGTACAAACTGTGCTGAGGTCTGTGCACCAGCTGCCTGCCTTCCTCTGGCTGCTGGTGCTGCCCCACCTTCCTTTTTTTTTTTTTTCTCCAGCCCTAGGAGTGCACCTGCTTGTTGTGGGGATTCCTTCAGCAACTCCCCCTATTGTTCTAATACCTGTGTTAAATCTAACCCTGAGGTGTCAGTTCCTTCTGTAAAATCCCCTCTGCGTCCATAATTTTTCTTGTTAACTTTCTGATTGTCCCTGCTGAAAGGGTTCTGCCCATGGAATTAGCCAAAAGGCTGGGGACTCTCACCCATTGTGGTTACATCACCCAAAGGCCCTCAGAGAGTGAAAGGGGATAGATCAGGGAAAGGGGGTGAGGAGAGCGTGCATGCAGAGTGACCTCTGGGTTTCACTCGGTGTCTTTTTCTCTCCTATCTCCATATTTCTTTCAGGTGTGGGACTCAAACTGCTGCTCATCCATCTCGTGCTCCTGGAGGAAAACTCGGGCCAGTCCAGGCACATATGCACTAATTCTCAGAGAACATAAATTCCTCTGGTTATGTGCAATTCCATTTATAAATTGAAAATCTCCAATTCTTGAAACCTGGTTCCCATAATGTAAGTAAAACTCCTTCTCTCACTCCCCACCTGGGCTTGCAGCTTGTTCTCTGTACCCAGGGAGGGGAGTGTGGTCTGTGTCCTCTGTCCACTTGGCCAAATTTCCTTCCGCTCACTGGCTGAGGCTTCCAACCCCTGGGCATGGCAGTGTAGGGAGAAGAGGTGCGGTTGGGTATGAATACCTCTGGCTGGGCAGATGGCTGAAGGCGACTATAATAGGGTTTCACATGGGGGCTTTTGACTGGACCTCCGTGGTGCTTTCCCTACAATCCTGCTGGTCACTAAAGTGTGCTGTTTTTGCCCAGTGAGCTGGGGACAAGCACCCGCAAGATCACCTTGCCCCTGGAAGCCACTCTATCAGCATGTGGTGTCTCAGACTGGCTCTTCCTTCCCGGAGTCCATGGCCTTGTCCACGCCACAGCCTTCCCACCTGACTGCCTCGCTCACTGCCCTTTTGTTCTTCGTTGGGTATCACTTACCAGCCTCCTTGACCAAAGACTCTAGAGACACCATCTATGTCTGTTAGTGGCCTTTTAATGATTAGCGTGAAGCAGTCACACTGTTCCTCCCTGGTGAGAGCTGAGCCCCATTGCCATCCTTTCACCAACCATTCCCAGCCTCTGTAGACAACAACAGCTGTTTTGGGCTTTTGAGGTGGGAGCTAAGCATTGTTGTTGAACTGGTTCTGCTGCCTTTTTCAGGTTCTGTAGAGGTGGTCTAATATTTCATTTGGAATAAATTAGACGATGAGAAGTTGGGAATAGTTGGTCCATATCTTCTTGGGGCTTCAGTTAAAACTTAGGCAGAAAGAAGTAGTCCAATTTTTAACATCCTATTATAAAAATCATCTCAAATTTCTGATAAGGTAGGCGTCATTATGTACATTTTAGATGAGGAAATTAAAGCTCAGAGTAAATACATAACTGTAAGTGTTAGGACAGGATTTTAACCCAAGTAAATCTGACTCAACATATAAGATTATTCTGTACACAGATAGTTAGGGGCTTCTGTGTACAGATGGTTAGAGACTCTCTCCTCTGAGCGTGGCTCCTGACTTTGGAGTCAGCTTGGCATGAGGCTCTCATGCCATCAGTAGGATGAGTACACGCTCAGATTTGTCTGGAACGTTCAGTCTAATGGCCAGCAGTGATCCATCTTCTCTCATACTGTCCAGTCTGTATGATAGATTTTATGCTTATCACAACCACTGGGGCTTGGGAGTGTGGTGCAGAGGAACGAGAAGCACCATAAACTTCCCAAGGGGGCAGGCTCTTTCAGTGCAGTCTACAGAGGCCAGCTTAGACTCTGGGGCAGACCTACAGTTGAGATAAGGTCCGGGCAGTTTCTCCAGATGCAAGGATGCTCAGGGTCTGCCCCATTCCAGGTAGGCATGCAGCTGGGGGAGAGGGTGGTCCTCTTGGGAACTGTCATGACAGTGCCCAGGATGGGGGAAGGAGTAAGACAAATGCATGCCTACTGTTGATTCTCAGTGGCATCTAAGTCTATCCATTTGCTCGCTTCCCCACTGTCCTTGTCTAGCTTCATTAGGATTATAATCACCTTCTAGCTGCTCTTTCTGCATGAATTTCCCCCACACGAATCCATCGTGCCCATTGAAACCAGAATGAGTTTGTTAAAATTCAAAGCTAACTGCTTCCATTTCTCTTGTTTCAAACCCTTCAGTGGCTCCCCTTGCCTTCAAGATCAACTCTGAATTCCTGGTTGTGACTTCCAGGCCCTGTGAGACTTGCCTTCCGTGCACCCCTCTAGGCTCTTTTCTTTTCTTCCTTGTGCTTTGTGAGCTTTGGTTTAGTAACACTGAACTTCTTGTTTCCAAAGCTTGCACATGCTGTTTCCTCTGCTAGGACATTCCTTTGTAGTTCTGCTGAGGCCTGATGGCTTCTAACTCATTCTTTCTCCTTTGAACGTATGGGTGTCCTCCTTCAGAAAGCCTTCCCTCCAGTTTGGGGAGTGGTGTCACAGCACTGATGGCTCTGAAGTTGCCATTTGCTCATCTGTATTTCCCCACGAAGTCACAGCTCTGCTCTACAAGAACCTGGGTTCTCTCCATCCTGTTCTCTGTTGTGTCTTTAGCACTATTCAGGGCTTTGGCACATAGTAGGTCCTGGGTTACTCTTTGCTGATGTAATCATTGCATGGATCATGTGTCCCAGGGTACACGTAACTAGGAAGCTGGAATTAGAAATGGAACCCGGACTTCAACAGCGGCACTTTTATATGGGATGTGAGCATCCCAAGTGTCTGGCCTAGTCCAGAACATTTGCATGGCCATTAGCTCCCTGAAACACGTGGCCTTGCCTGAGACAATTGTTTTTTCCAGCGTTTCTGGTTAAGTGGTTTGTTCAAGATGAGACAGGCAGGCAGTCATTCTGCCCCATTAGTCGTGTGGCTTGGATCAGTCTACCTAATCTCCAGAGTACCTGTCTGTAAACAGGGCTTGTGTTGTAATAACACCCACCTCAGGGAGCTTTGGCAAAGATTAAATACAGCAGTGCATTGGTTTTCTTTAGGTCTTTTCCCTCAGCTACTTGCTTAAAACAAAACAAAACAAATAAATCCCCCCACACCATAAATTACGGTATTTGGTATGATGTAGTACAAATCTGTTGTTGGAGAAATAGAATAACTAATGTTATCCACAGTTTCATCACTGAAAGATAGTCAGTGTTAAAAAAAAAGTTGATTTACAACTTTTTAATTATCTTTTTGTTCACATGTATAGATATGCTCATACAGTCACAAAATTGGCTCATTTAAAATGTTTTTTCACATAACAAATTATCATAAACATGTTTTCTTGCCAATACATGTTTCTATTGATAAGTATATGAATGGTTGTATAAAGCTTCATTGTTTGAGGTGGATGTTTATGCTAACTGTTAGTAATACTTCAGGTTAAGAAACCTATATCCTACTTTGATATGCCTGGGTTTGATTTCCAGCTCTGGTTCCTGATTCCTACTTCTCAACAATGCAGACCCTGGAAGGTAGTGGTGATGGGTAACTGGGTTCTTGCTACCCATGTGGGAGGCCTGGATTGAGGTCCCAGCCTCCAAATTTGGCATGGTGCAGCCCAAGTTGTTAAGGGCATTTGGGGAGTGAACTAGTGCATGGGGGCACACTTCCACTCACTTTCTCTCTCTGTCTTTCAAATAAATAAGTGAAAAAAATTATATGAAAAATAAAATTTCATTTTATTCATATATTTTAATATTCACCATTTAAAAATTTTAGTTTATTTCTTCCATTTTTCTTATAAATAATTTTTGATGAGAATTCATAGGAATATATTCTTGAACAAATGATTGGTCATTTTTAAAGATAAACTTGCAAATGCACACAATGGTTAAAAATCACAGACATGGTTATGAAACTATGCATATCACTTAATTGTCTTTCTTAGAAGTTCTAGCAAGTTAAATTGTCATTGGTGGTGAAATAGCGTGCCTATTTCACCATATTCTTGCTAAAACTAGGTGTTTATCACTTTTTAACCTTTATTTGGCAGGTGGTAAATGAATTGCATTGTTGTTTTATGTTTCATACTGCTTAAAATAAAACTTTATATATTTATCAGTCATGTTCTTTTTAAAAATTTTTATTAATATAAACAGAACAGACTCATGTATTTCATAGGGACAATTTTAAAAGGGTAACCGTACTTCCCTCCCTCCCTATCTCCCTCAATTCTCTTCCTTCCTTCCTTTCTTTTTTGTTCTTCAAATTTTTGATCATTAAAGAAACTAAGGTTGGGGCCAGCAGTGCTGTGGCGCAGTGGGTTAACGCCCTGACCTGAAACACCAGCATCCCATATGGCCGCTGGTTCGAGACCTAGCTGCTCCACTTCTGATCCAGCTCTCTGCTATGGCCTGGGAAAGCAGTAGAAGATGGCCCAAGTCCTTGGGCCCCTGCACCCGCATGGGAGACCCAGAAGAAGCTCCTGGCTTCAGATTGGCACAGCTTCGGCCATTAAGACCAACTGGGGAGTGAACCAGTGGATGGAAGACCTCTCTCTCTCTCTCTCTCTCCACCTCTCTTCTTTCTGTGTAGCACTGACTTTCAAATAAATAAATAAATCCTAAAAAAAAAAAAAAGAAACCAAGGTTCTTTTCTAATTGACATGTAGCAACTATTTGTTAACTATAGGCTTTAATTTTTTTTCTATTTTATAAATATTTTCCAGTTTTTCATTTGTCTTTTAGTTTTATGACTCTTTTTGACATTACATTTGAATATTATATGTAATTAAATTTAGTAATTTTTTGGGCTTTCTCTTTAACATGACTTAAGAGACACCTGCAATGGCCAGGGCTGAACCAGGCCAAAGCTGGGAGTTAGGAACTCAATCTAGGCCTCCCCTATGGGTGTTGGAACCCAGTTATTTGGGCCATCACCACTGCCTCCCAGGGTCTGCATTAGCAGGAAACTGGAGTCAGGAGCTGGAGCCAGGTTTCAAATATGGGCACGCTGATGTGGAATGCAGGCATCTTAACCAGTGTTCTAACCCCTAGGCAAAAAGCCTGCCCCAGACTATTTCTTCAGATAATTTTCCTTCCAAAATGATGTACGTTTTCTGAAATTTTAAATAACCAAGAACATTCTATAGCCCTCGTGTAGAGCAATGGCTTGGTAGTTAGAACATTCTCAACATACAATTTTTTCTGCTCAAAACTCTGCAGAGACTGTGCCACTGTTTCTGAAATTGAGGGATAAGTCTGTTGCCAAATGTTATTTTCCCTCCTGGCTAGTGCCCTGGTTGTTTGCCAAGAGATCCATTGTAAGATTTTTCTTTAGACCCCAAGGAACAAGCAACATAAGTAGAAACAGGCTAATGAGACTCTTGTTTTTGAACCTGGGACAATAGATCACGGGTGAGGGGAGAGTGTTGAAGACAGGGTCCCACGTTATCCTGCCTCTTGTTGCCACTCACGCCACTACTTGGGCTCCCCTTTTTGCCCTGTAACTACAGCATTTTCCAC